TCTTTCCATCTTTAACATGGAGATTAAAGCTACTAGAGCAAATATGAGGTTTCACCAATGTTTTAGAAGCATGTGGAGGACTCTGGCTAGGGAATGCTGCATTTACCACAAAGGCCCATGAGTTGCACCTCTGTGTCAGAGAGCAGAATAGGATCCAGAAATCTCAACCATGCACATGTGTCTCAACCCAAAATGCTGCAGCTTTTGACCTTAAGGACTGCTTTAAGTTTTGCTTCTAGGAGGAGTTGATAACTTGCCCTGCTGTACCTGAGAGTGCAGTATATATACCATGCTATATCTACTGCGTCCTTCAGGGGCTGAACACATTCTTTTTCCTTTAAAGTAGAAGATGGCTCATACAACATGATACAAGACCCAAATAAAAGCAGCCTAAAATTTGTTCCTGTTGGGAACCTTTCTTCTGAAATGCTTTTTGTCAAGACTCCTGAAGGCACCGTTTTCTGGGGATCTAAGGAAGATTGATCTGCTGTATCTCAGGGGTCTGAATTTTCAGTTTGGCTTTAAAGCAGCCTGGTCCCTGGGCCAGCTGTTACAGCTCTGCATCACACTTAATTTTGCTCATACCCTTCAGCTGTGTGGTACAGGCAGGCTTGGTGAGGATGTATGCTCTCCCACCTAGGCTAGTTGGGCTCCTGCCCAGGTAGGAGTTGACCTTCTTTATCCTGTTGACAGGTCCTTGGTGGATCACCTGGGGAATGACACCCTTCTTCTGGTGGCTGGGGATCACGGCATGACAGAGACTGGAGACCATGGTGGCGACAGCGAGAAGGAAGTGAATGCAGCACTGTTTGTGTACAGCAGAACACCTCTGTTTGGCAGTGGCCCTCCAGAGGTGAGAAGAAGCTGTCACTGCCTGAGGTGGTGTCTGGGGTGAAAACTGCATCCTGGGACTACAGAGAGTAACAGTTTCATTTGGATTGTTTGGATTGAGAAGGAAGAGTCTGTCACCTTGACGAGAAGTGGGGAGTCTGTCACCTTGTCCCAAGAGTGGAAGGGCTGACAGAGGATGCAAGTGACTGAAGTGTTTGGGACTCATGTTCAGGCCCCTTCATCTGTGAGTGGTGTTTGTATGGGGCGAGGAGAGCTGTTAGACAGCTGGGCCTTACCCATTGACTGGCAGCTGCCAGCAGGCATCCTTTGCTCTGCTGGGCACTTGGGGTGGGCAGAACTGTGCTTATGCCTGGATTCACCTTTGAACAGGGATGTCTTCCCCATTGTCCTCTAGCACAAGTGAGAAGCTGTGTTGCTGTGTTCTTTCTGGATTTCCTGATTCTCCCCTGTCTCTTCAGGAGCCGGAGACCATTCCCCAGGTGAACCTGGTGCCCACTGTGGCTCTGCTGCTGGGTGTGCCCATCCCATACAGTAACATTGGAGAGGTGATGGCTGAACTTTTCTCTGGGGATGGTGATGCTGTGTCTGCAGCCTTGCAGCAGCTCTCGGTCTATCACATCAACGCCAAGCAGGTATGGCCAATGGTAGGGCCACCATTGGACTAGAGGGGAGAAGGAATGGCTTTTTAAGCACAAACCTCTTCTATTTGAGAAAGGTGGGGTGGCAACATGCTCTTATCTTCATGGGGAACTTATTTTGAAGCATTGCCTCCTTGCTGTATTTGCTCCAGTGAAAGGTGACAGCATTTTCCCCAAATTTAAATGAGATATATGTGTTTAGTGCTGTGATGTGGAAAATACTGGCTGGGGAGGTTGCATTCATTTAGGGACAAGGGTTGGCCCTAGATGGTCAGAGGTGGATTTGTCAATGGGGATCTATGGTTCCTCAAGGCTGAGGATGGCCAGGGGCAAGTTTCATGAATGGAGATTGGAGAATATATGTGGAAGTTTTGATGCTGCTTTCATTTTGGAGGAGAAACACTGTTAATTAAAAAGCTATTCTAGATCAGTGGCCAAAGGGAAACAGTAAAGGAGTAAATAAAAGAAATACCATGTAACAGATGACAGTAAAGTGGGATACAGAAAGAACAGTTTACACCAAGTGCAACAAAATGCAGAACCTCAAGAGCTGAATGACAAAATTTGAATGAGAGTGTCTATACCAGGTTTTTTCAATGGAGCAGGCCAAGTCAGAGCCACTATGGAAGATGTGAGGGCCATGGGTTGTGGTTCTGGTCGTGCTGCAGAGCCAGATTTGCCACAAGCGTTGCAAGGCATGTGTTTAAGGTAAGGGCTGGTCTGTCTTTCAGAGACCCTGGATTGATGGGAGCCCAGGAACAACTCCTCCAGAGCCCATCCAGCTCTTCAGGAGTGCCAGCTGGATGCCACTGGTGCAAGCCAGTGAGGAACTGGAGAGGATATGATTGTTGATGGGAAGATAGAAAAGTTCAGCCTCTCAGCTCTGTAATTATAGAGCTACAGAGTGCTTTGTCATTTAAAGATGATACTGTACATTAATGTCCATTAGTCACAGAGGATATCAATCATCTAGTAGGAATTAACATTATTCAGTCCTTCCTGTTTAAATATTTGCACTCACTTGTCTGAGGAGGCTTCTGTCTCAATCATATGTTGAAAAAGCTTTGGCATTCCAGGGAGGTTGTGCAAGCCTGAGAGAGAACTGGGGCATATGTGTGCCATTCATGGTCAGGGGCAGACTGATTCTGCCTGTGCCCTGAAGTGACTAGAAGGTGTGTGAAGTTGCAGGCCCTGAGCAGATGTGTACTACTGTGCAGCTGGATGTATGTGCAGGTGCCCTGCCCTGCTAATGCCCCTGTAAGACTTTTATGACTTTGGGATCACAGCTGCCTCTGTCTGTGTTCTCTTGAAGCAGGAAGCAAGAATAATGAGCTTTCCTGTGCAGTGGCTTAATGTGCTTGTATTAAAGAAGGGGAAGCAGTTTAGTTGGATCCACTACAAGCTTCTTAATTTGATGTCTATCCTCAGACAAAGCTGTAAAAGTTGACATTGGGTGCAGGTTAACATCTAGTAATGACTTGAACTTCTGGAGGATGTTTTCCTTGTTGCTGCCAAGGACTGTATAGAAGCCCTTAGTGATGCATGACATTAGCAGAGGTGCAGCTGCAGGTGAAGACGTGAGAGGAGGCAGTGTGGCTGTTGGGATGGATGCATCACTTGAGAGGGATGTCACTTTGGCAGAGAGATTGTGTTTTCTGCCTGTGACATCCTGGATTTGTGTGGATCTTGCAGCTGGAGACAGGTCTGCCCTGGCAGGGGTTGTCAGATTGCAGCTGTTTCCTTTCTGAAGGAACTGTTTGAGGCAGTGAATCCCATCCCAGTGGTCCCAGTGCCTCTGTCTGACCTGTGTCCCCTCTCCCATAGGTGGATCGCTTCCTGCACTCCTACTCGCTGGTGGCTCAGGACCTGCCAGCAGAACAGCTCCAGCGTCTACAGGAGCTCTTCTCCGGTGCCGTGGAGGAGCACACTCAGCTCTTGGCCCAGGTGCAGGGGGCAACACTGGTGCCTTTGGAGCTGGAATCCAGGCTGGGAAGCCTCATCAGTCACTTCCAGCGTTACCTGCGGGAGGCACGGGCTGTGTGCACCCAGTCCTGGGCTCGCTTCCACTCTCTGCGTATGGTGGGGGGCTGCGTCCTCATCGCTGCTTCCTGCTTGCTCTGCTACGTGGCCTCAGAGCTGGCCGCGTCCTCAGACTCTTTCTATCGCAGCTGCCTCCTGTACCCGCTGCTCTGGGGCCTCATGGGGGCTATTCTTCTTGGACTGGCCCATGTTTTCACCCAGGAGGGGCTGGATCTGCTTCTGGGGTCATCATAGGCCACCGCCAATTC